TTAATATCTGTGGTGTCAACTACTCAGGGAAAAAGCTATGTGCTCTGCACCAGCTTGTACTCAGGCCGAGGCCATGAGTGACAGCAAATGAACAAATGAGCCCCTCCCACAGACTGCCCAGCTTCTAATGTCACAACGACTCTGCTACTCTGCTGGTGGCTACACACAGCTGTATGCAAGCTACCTGCTAGAATAACATGAAAACTGGAGATTGAAGGGCTCAGGATGTAGTCCCTGGAGTACTAAGAACCTTCAATACAATGACATGCTCATTCCTAACCTAACAGGACAGTCTGGTGTGGTGCCTGACTGCAGAGAATAGTCCAGTGAGCTGGGCAAATTGATTTATTTATGCTCAGTCTCCTTGTAGATAAAATGGGGTAACAATAATATCAGTAAATAGTGGCATCTGTATCTCACTGAATCACTGTTAAGACTAAATCAGGTACCTTATACTCTGATTTACAAATTAAAAAGAATTAAAAATATATTATTTGTTATAAGCTCAGTAACCTTATTATCTATTATAATGGTCTATCCAATATTTCAAAGTAAATTTTCTAATTTTACTACCTATATGACCATCTGTCTTAGGGTTTTTATTGATGTGTAGAGACCCTAAGACCACAATGGCTTGCATACAGTTCAGTCCATTAGCATTCATGGCAGGAAGCATAGTGGCATGCAGGCAGACATTATGCCGGAGAGGTAGCTGAGAGAGTCCTACATCTTGCAGGCAACAGGAAGCTGACTGAAACACTAGACAGTATCCTGAGCACAGGAGACCTCAAAGCCCACCCCCACAATGATACATTTCCTCTAACCAGGCCGTATCCACTCCAACAAAGCCACACCTCCTAATAGTGCCACTCCCTATGAGATTATGAAGGCCAATTACATTCAAATTATCACACTATCCCTTGAACTTGAAAGGGTAGATCCTCATTTCACCTTGGAGAAATTCCATTCTGTAAGGTATGCCCACTTAGATCAAAACCTCTGTGAAATCTTGTTATTTACTTCAAAGAAACAGAATCTTTCATCCAAAAAAATTTAAAAAAGGAGTCAGTCTCCTTATACTTCCAGGAAACACTGATCTAACTCTCCATTTATTTTCCCATTGCTTATGAACTTCTGTTTTCCTTCTTATAACAGATTACAAGAAATATCTAGCAATGTCCTGACTACTATCAGATTTTAAAAAATATCTGACTTGGCTTCATTTGATTTTGAACTTATGCCTGTTGAAGATCTTAAATGTGAGGAGTTCCTTGGGCCAGTCTGCTCTCTTTAGAGAGGATATAATTCCACTGAAGTTTCTTTTCTTTCTTAAAAAACATATAACAAGAAGGTTGCAGATCATAAACAAAGAAGTTCCCCATGAATTTTCTGATCCACCAAGGGATTGTTCTATATGATCAAAACAAGAGCCCTATAAACATATAGTGGTGATTTGAGCAATAATGACCCCTATGGGCTTATACATTTCAATGTTTAGTCATCAGGGAGTGGCACTATTTGAAAAGGATTAGGAGGTGTGGCCTTACTGGAAAAAGTATGTTTCAGGGGTGGGCTTTTGGATCAGGATGTGGCTTTCAGCTTCTCCAGCACCATGTCCACCTGCCACCATGCTCCCCACCATGATGATAACAGACTAAGCCTCGGAAACTATAAGCAAGTCCTTAATTAAATACTTTCCTTTGTAAGAATTGCCTTGGTTATGGTTTATCTTTACAGTAATGGGATAGTAACTAAGACACATGTTACTAGTATCAGAATAATAGCTATTTCTATATAATGTATGCCTTTTATTGCTCCTTAACAAAATAAAGCAATGCAGTTTACTTAAGAAACATTTCTTAATAGTCCACATCCTAACTGGGGTAATATCAGTAGTCTCCTAATCTCATATCATTTTAGCTTTACTACAACCAACACATGCTCTTCTGAAGGAACAAGGTTGTCACTCCAAAGGCAGCATTTAACATGCCCTAACTTACTCAACCACTCCCATAAAAATCAAGATCTAAAAGCAAAGTCACCCCCAAGCTCATTCAAGTGTGGTACCTCCTGGTGCATTCCGTAAGAACTCAAAAAAAAGGGAAGGAAAATTAGCTGGTGATACTTACAGCATGCTAGGCGCTGTTCAAAGAAGCACAACCACATTCACTGATGTAAGCGTCATACAGGGTTATTTTTTGTTTTATTGGTGAAGAAACAAGAAGCATTTGCAGGTGGCTCTGTTTCTGAGCCCTACTACAAAGCAACTATACATTGTGCACCATTCCTCCTCTGCCCTGGACACCACAGAAGCCAGACACAGTCCATGGAAATGTGAGGCTCTGCTGCTGCTCCGCTAACCTCTCAGTGTACTATACTTTTTAAGGTCTGTTCACGGTCTGTTCCTTGCAGCAGAGTGTATCTATGAGGGCAAGGGCTATTGCCTTGGCTGTTGACTGCTGTATCTCCAGTCTTTAGGAAAGTACCGAATGTACAAGAGGGCTCCACAAATACTTGGCAAACGAAGAAGGACTGAGCCCACCCAAACCACCAATTGATTCATGTAATTAATGTAATATAAGCATAAGGGTTGGAGCAGAAGTTAAGAGAATGAACAAGGATTCAAGGATGCATTATAACAGATATCTTAGACAATTGGGCCAGAGAAGGGAAGATTCCTGCTAGCAAAGGAACAAAATGCAAAACTTCCATGGGCTAAGATAGCATTTTCTAATTCCAGGAATGCTTATTGGAACTCTGTAGATCTCCTGTTCTCTAGGACAGGATTCTCATTCTCACCTTGTCCCAAAAACCTCTTTTTGAAATCTGATGAAGTCTATGAACTTTTCCCAAGGCCAAGTGCTAAAATGTACAAATATGTAGGATTGATATTCCAATATTTTAATCACATTTTCTGATACTGTATAACACAGTACTTATTAAGATCTAGTGTCAGTTTATAAACAATGAAAATGAAAAACAGAAAATCAAAACCCACAATGGAGTAATCCCAATAACACCTTCTAGAGGCAAGATTCAAGAACATGAAAGCCTCCAAACTAAAAGGTGAGACTGGACTCCTGAAAGAACAAGACCTCAGGTTAGCCATTCTCACTATGCCCGGCCACAGAACCTAGTAGCTTGCTCACACTACTCCAACAAGAAATGTTCACTGAATAAATACCTATAAAGGAAGAGAATCAGCACATTTTTCTTTCCAGTACTGTCATGTCTACATGATACCCACGAGCTCACTCCCCAATTCTTCCTCAGTGAGCATTTCCTGACATCACCAGCCTGTACATTGAGTACCATAAGGGATGCCCATGTGCTCTCCCTACTTCTTCCTCAGTGAGCACTTCCTCTGCTGTTACCTGCCTGTACTTGAATACCATAAAGAAAGAGCTTGCTGTGAAGTGGTGCTTTTCTTTTCAGCCAGGACTTTAATCACATCGCCTCTCACCCCTATCACCTACTCATTTAACACATTCCGCTTAGATGCCATGCTCTTCAGTAAGCTTCCTTGCTACCCATCCTTAGGCTGAGCTACCTGTGCTAAGATTCTCGGTTTCCATTTCACTTATAAATATTTAGCAGTGGGAGAGTCACAATGCATGAAAACTAACCACTTACGTTCCTTTTTTTTTCCTGGGTTGACCTCAAACTCATGAGCTCAAATGCCCTCCTGCCTTATATTCAGACTATCATGTGCATCACTTTGCCTGGCTGAAGCCTCTATCTTTATATCCACCAGAGCCAGTACAGGCTCAATAATTATTTACTGTGTATATGAGAGAATGAAACAATGTTAGAGCTTAATTTTTTTCTTTTTTGTTAATTTTATTTCTCTAATTTTTCCTATTTGGTCAGCTGATCATTCAGATTTTAAGTTTCTCAAAAAATTAACAAAAGCCCCATTTGGTTATCAAACAGGAAGCAAAAATTAAGATGGCTTTCTCCTCAGGTCAAAGGTCCCCTCTCCTAACTTCTCATGACTGACATTCAGTAAACACACAGCATCAGCACCACTCTCTCCCAGTGTTCTCTACACTAAGCACCACCTTTCACAACCCATGTATCATTTCTACCCTTTCTCCCTAAAAAATACAAAGGAGGCCTTGTTGATTTTCTTGATGTTGTCGATCTGTACTTCTTTACTTCTAGAATCCCGTTCTTTAATCTCTTTCAATTTAATTTGTTCCAGTTGTACCAAAGAAACCATTCTGTAATAATTCTTAAAATTAAGTTACATTCAAAAAATTCCTCTTTCCTAATATATAAGAATTACATTTTCTACCTTATTTCCTCTATTTAGGAAAATACTTACTTCCTCATGCTTTCACAAATGCACTTCACTGAAGCAAGGAAGCAATCTTGTGTGTACCACAGAAAGTTCCTGGTCCTTCACTGTTGTCTTTGTACCTAGGATACAACCTTTTCATACTCTTCTATCTTCCTTGTACTTGACTTTTCCTTCAAGTCTTGCTTCCTCTAACATGGCTTAAAATTGCCCTTATATTAGTTGCTCTCTTACCACATACATCTTCAACACTTGAATTTGCCTCAAGTACCAACTGTTTGGTCTTTACTTGTAGTTTCCACTGAGAGTTCAATTGTTCTAGAAGCTCTGTATACATGTATTGTATATATTACTGTTCTATCTCACTTAGACAAGTTCAACTGATCACATTTTCTTATGTATCTAGAATAAAGCCATCATATTTATATTTTCATATTTACTTCTAGGCCCTTCCTATTTGAAAGGATAATACCTTAGAAAAGTTTTATTTCAAAGTTTAAAAAAGTACTTGCTTTGACTCATAATTTAGCAAATGGAAAGAAGAAAACAGTGCCATAGTAAATAATACTCCATCCATTCTCTATTGTCACTAGGCAAATAGCAATTATTCTAACTTATAAGATAAAAAATTAAAACTTAAACTTATTAATATATTTAGTTAATTCATGACAAAAAATTGAGCAATAGTTTAAAAACTTACAGGATCAGCAGGTCCACAGAATTCTCGAAAAGTCTTTTTAGAATTGTTGTTCTGTTGGATCTCCATTGCCACGCAAGAGCCAGAGCACATTTCTGTCACCATATCCTTTGATAGACAATGTAAGAGAAAACAAAGGAATTAAAAGAACTGAATATTTTACCCTGATTCTTTTCATTGCACTACTTTCCAACTATTTCCAATCTGAAAATGGCCACCTTTGACGTATTCCCATCCCTGTCCTGGACATTTGCACTTTTTGCATTATGGCCACCTTTGCTTCAAAAGTTTGTCTCATCACTTCATCTCTACTTTTTGTATCACTATCATTTTAAGGTCATGTTTTGATTCCTCTCATCACCTAAAATCATTTCTAGTTTCTCTTTCTTTCAGATCCCCTCTTTTCCTCAGCACATTTTCATCAAACTGATATTCCTAAAATAGAAATAGTGATGTTTCCCCTGGAGGACCTTTAAAAATCTATAATGTAGTTAGCAGCAAGGAGTAACATCTAGAAACTAGAAAAAATAACTAGTTTCCATGTATTGAATGGTAGGGGCCAAGGGACTGTGACTCTTGGGAAGGAGGGACAGTATAGTAAGCCAGATACGTCCCCATCTTACAAAGCTTAAAAACAAGACTCAGCAGAGTCAAACTGAACCAAAGTCACTTAACTGAAAGTCAGAGCAAATCCCAGCACTCTCTACAGGAAACGATCCATTTCATCACACTCAACACACTATAAAACAGTTATCATTACCAGGCATGAGAAGAAGCAGGAGAATATAAGCCACCAGAAGAACAAAGTTAGTAAGTAGACATGGATCCAGCAGACAAGTGCAGTGTAATGAGCAAAAATCGATATTACAGCTGTTATAAAGGGTCTGCTTAAGTTATAGAAGAAACAGAGACATTTTAAGGAAAAATTAAATAACAGAAGATTAAAATCTAGAAATGAAATCAAAGACATGTAACTAACAAGTGCTTTGGATGGGAGGCCACGGCAGTGCAGATCAGTGAATCTGAAACAGGTACTTGACACTGCTTCAACACAAGCAAGGGAACCAACAAAGAAGAAAAACAGAAGTCACTGTGGGACAATGTCACACTATCTACCATGGTGTGCTGGAAGACAAGTTCAGAGAGAACTATTTCAGGAAATAATTCATAAAAAGTTTTCCAAATTTCTATCCATAAACCTCTAAGCCCAACAAAGGAGATGAAGGGGGGAAAAGAAACCTGGAAGAAAAGTGTCAGAGAGTGCATCACAACTAGCAAGAAACAAAACAAATCCTAAAAGGTAAGAAAAATAAGACAAAACATTACAGGAAGGCAAAGACAGACAACAGCAGCAGCATAACAAGGCCTCCTGTCTAAAACATGAACGCAAATCACAGCGTATTTTTAAAAACAAAGACACAGAAAAATTTCTTCAGACAAATGAGACCTGTGAGACATAACACTACGGTGGTTCTCAACCTGTGGGTCATGACCATCACAGGGGTCACATATCCTGTATATCAGATTTTACATTACAATTCCTAACAGTAGCAACATTATAGCTATGAAGTAGCAATGAAATAATTTTATGGCTGGGAGTCACTATAACATGAGGAACTGTATTAAAGGGTTGTAGCATTAGGAAGGTTGAGGACCACTGCAATCCTAGAATCCCTGTCTGTAGGATAATGGTCAACCCATTGTAAATATGTATGAAATTATCAAAGAATAAACAAAAAATGTTAAAGTTCTCAAGAGGAGGGAGACAGACGGAAAATATGGACCTACACAACAGGAGTAAATGTGGATAAATATAAAACACTTTTTTAGTTGCCTTAAAGATGACTATTCAAGGGCTCATAAGCTCTCATGCATAGCTAAGGAGCTAAAGACAGTTGATGGCTTCTGGGAGACGGAGTGGGGGTTTGGGAGGACCTGGAAAGAGTTAAGGGGAGGTGTGGGGAGAATGTAATCAGACATATTGCATGCATGTATGAAACTATAAGAAAATTAAATAAAATGTATTCAAAACAGAAAAAAGATAATTGTTCAAAGAAAAATATTAGTTTTTTGTTGTTGTTTTTTTATTTGTATGTTTAAAAGCATAACCCCAGGTATGTCAACTACATTAGAGTGAATGGCCTCACACCCATTAGTATACAGGCAGCAACAACTGGACTCATTGGGTAATCGGGGTATGTATGTCTGTATGTCTGTATGTCTGTATGTATGTACTTACTTTTGAGACAAAGGTCTCTCACTGTGTATCAGGTGCTGGCCTGGACCTTGCTACATAGATCTCCTGCTCTCTGCTTCTGAGTGCTGAGATTAAAAGAATGTGCTACCATGCCCAGGACAGTGGGTGTTTATTTGTTTCTTTTGATTTTAGGGAGGGGATGGAAGCTTGAGGGTGGGGTTCTAGAAAGAGTTAAGGGAAGGAGTGGGGAAAATAAAATCAAAATACATTGCATGCATGTGTGAAATTACAAAAAATTCAATAAAAACAGGAAAAAGATAATATTCAAAGAAAAATATTAGTAGCGTATTACAGAGTTTATCACACACATAAGAATAAAATAAATGATAAAACAATAAAACAAGGATAAGGAGAAAGGCTTTTAGGTTTTTAACTCGATGTGAAATGATATGAAGAAGAGGATTGGAGAAAAACGCTTTCTCACAGGGTCTGGAACACTCATCTTTTCACTTTCTTGTCAACACTGAAAAGCACTTTAGATAAAAGTGATGATAAATAGAGACTTTGAGGAAGATCAGCAGGTGGGGTTTCTGAGGGTGAGTCAAGCACAGCAGCACAGTGAGGCTATGCTGGAAGGTAGTGGCAAATGAGGTTGGATTATACTAGGCCACACAAGCCCAAATGACTTCAGAGCATTTATAATACACAAGGCCAAACTAAAATAACTTATTATAGGACATACTTACATATTAACCCAAACACTGTCACCCTACCTAATGGAAACGACAGAGTTAGAAGAAAGAGCTTCATAAGTGATGTGATACATATAACCCTATTTAGAATACCTAAATGGACCCCAGCGCCACTTTGTTATTTTTATACCCAATCGTGTTGGATTTGATTTTCCTATTTGATGCTATTAAGGTACTGCTTACACATAAAATGCCAAGTTCTCAGTAAGAAGAGATATCAACACATTTTCTGAAAAGGAGAAAAGAAAATCTTTCTTCATTCTTCTCTCCTTTTCTTCGTTTGTGTCTCTCACTTTGTGTTACCATCGGCAGCAGCCAACAGTTAGAACAGCAGGTATGTAGCCTATTCCAAATGAGCCTACTCCAAAAAAGAAGAAAGAACAGACACCAAGCAAAGAATGCCACCAAACACATAATGTCTTTCTTTAAAAATTGGCTCAAGGGGGCTGGAGAGATGGCTCAGTGGTTAAGAGCACTGCCTGCTCTTCCAAAGGTCCCCGAGTTTAATTCCCAGCAACCACATGGTGGCTCACAACCATCTGTAGTGAAATCTGGTGCCCTCTTCTGGCCTGCAGACATACATGCAGGCAGAATACTGTGCACATAATAAATAAATAAATAAATAAATAAATAAATAAATAAATCTAAAAAAAAATTGACTCAAAATGTTTTGGTCCTCCCAGTTTTTAGTTAAGGAGAAATTTTCTAAAAACTTGGTTGCTTATTTTTTAAGAGTCTTTTGCTGACCTAAGACAGTCAGTTGTACATGGAATATCGAATCAAACGTCTGTCCTCACTGAAACTTAACTTCTATTAATGCACATCATGTGTCTTTATCACAAAACTGTAAAGTCCATAGTAGATGTTCAATCAGTTCAATCTTATCATGATGACAGGATAAGGTCAAAATTATCGTCCTATTTTAGATAATTTTCAAGTTAAGTTTGAATGTAAGCATAAATTAGCAACAAAAACTCCACTATCAAATACTATTACTAAACTCAACACTAACAAACCCAGCAGCAGCAGCAGCAGCAGCAGCAGCCGCAGGAGCAGCAGCAGGAGCAAAAGAAAGAGGAGGAGGCACCAAGTACTCTCAATGAAGAGATCACTTTACACGATAGGTTTGAATTCGTTCTCATAACAATCTTCTAATACTGCATTGTTCTCATTCTATGCATGGGCTACTAAAAGCTTTAAAAGAGTAAATAACTGGTGGTCCTAGGAATTGAACTTTGGCCCTCTGAAATGGCAACAAGCCCTCTTAACCACTGAGCCCTCTCTTCAGCTCCATATTGAACATCTTTCATTCATCTGTTTGACAGTCACATTTGTTCTTTTAAGAAATACCATTTCAGATTCTCTGTATTTCTGTCTCTTTGTCCCCCTTTGAGGTAGGATTCACCATGCTGCCCACTCTAGCCTCAATCCTGTTCCTCTGCTTCTACCTCCCAAGCACTAGGTAAGTCATGCATCATTACCTGGCTCTCTGTCTGTTTTAAAAATTAGGTTAATGGTCATCTTGCTATTGAGTTGTTTGAATTCTTAATAGAATTGGACATTAATTCTTTATCAGATATATGGTTCATAAATCACTCTTCAAAATATTTTCAATAATTATAAGATTTCAAAGATTTGAAACACACACACTGCTTTCAATTGCATTATTTTACATTGATTTTGATACTTACATTATACTCAGGCACTACACCTTTATAAACTTCATAGAATTCTTCAACATTAACCCGATCCATATTAAACTACAAAAAAAACAAAAGTAAGCCAATCATGTGAGCTAAAGTTAGCACTCAGTAATTATCATTCTTTAGACACATACTTTCACTTTTTTGCTATCTTTTTCTCCACAATGGTCTCAAACACACTATGAAGCCCAGGCTAGCCTTGGATTTGTAACTGTTCTGTCTCAGCATTCCATTACAGCTACTTGCCACCATACCTGTCTTCTTTTAACTTCAAAATGTAGGTTTTAGATATTTATTTGAAGAAGCAAGCATTACTAAAGACCAGCTGATCAATAATAACTTTATTGCTTATTTATTGATTATCATTTACTGAGTATTTAACAAGTTACACATGACTGAGTTTTATACATGTTCCATCTCATACAATTCTCACAATCCTAAGGTACAAGTACTCAGCATGCCACTGCTAAGGCTTAGAGACACCATGAGACCCCTCTAAATTGGTCTCTGTCACTCCCAGAATCGGACACCATTGACCATGCGCTCATCCACTACTCTACAACTTTTAGAATGAAACCCTATTCTTTATAGGATTTCAAAAGAGGCATAGACAATATAATGCTGTTTATTGGTAGATTAGACATACAAGGAGAAAAATGTTACCAAGCACAGATCCCTCAGAGCTTGTGGAGAGAATGGAAAGCTATACTTCCACCCTCTCAAGCATTTGGAAAAATTGTTAATACTGATTTGTAACAAATCACCAGACACGTGAGCTGGACTTCCTTCTAGCCATCAAAAATAAGTATAGATAAGACATATATGTTTATAAAACACATCCAAACAACTTCTTACCAAGAAGTTGTTGGTTTTAAATTCAGTTAGGGATAAAATTTTGTTATGTTTAACAGTCTCACTAACTAAAACATTAATTTAAAGAAAGGGCGTCTGAACCCTAATTTTGCCCCCTTTCCTTTGCTTCTCTAGTGTTGTCAGGACTGGAGATCACTGAGAAGTGTCAATCCACACAGTCCACAACACACATCAGAAGGATTGATCAGCATAGGCAGCATTACTGTTACAGGGAGGGAAGTCGATTTGATTTCATACCATTAGTGCATCAAAGCATGACATAAAATATAAATTAATAAAAGTCTATTTAATCTACAGCACAAACCAACAGTGGCAAATAATAACATTGCCATGGCCTAGATGAGAAACTGAGGAGAAGGATGCTGGACTAGGGTCACATGCCAGAAAACTGTTGACCCTAAGTTCTGAAAATACTATCCCGGGTTCTAAACATCAGCGATTGCGTTTACCATTATCCTATAATGCCCCTATAATCAATAGGTTCACATTATTTATGATGATTTCTTGTCAAATGTACCAGGGAGTACAGCACAAAGGTATCCGCTGTTACAAACTATGTGTTATGGCTCCAGTCAAGGACTTTCCGAGAATGTCTGAGGAGGCAATTCTAAGTGAGTATGGGCTTGAGGCTTAAGAGCCATGGGGGAGAGTAAGTACACTAACACTTGAGGGACAGTTTAGAAGCCAGACCCGGCTGAGAGTGCCAAGGGAATCAGAACTGACATCACATCCTTCCTTCTTCACCATTTGCTAAGAAACCTAGAACACAGAATGTTCATTGACACACCTCACTTAGATCCTATTTGTCATTTGTAAGACCGAAATAGTCTTTGTTCCCTCTTTTCAGCTTAAGTTCCAAGAAATGAAGAAACTTTGAAGTTTAAATCAGGTTTATCATCTGAATATTAGTATCTCAGTAAATGACTATATAGATTAACTAATTAAAACATGTTTTTATTATGAAGTTTTGAGCTCAGTTTTTCATTGCTGTTGTTCTATTTTGTTGTTATTTTTGTCTAGCCTGGAACTCACCACTTAGATCAGGTTGGCTTCAAATGCATACCTACCTCTCTTTCCAGAGTGCTGAGATTAAAGGCCTACTCTACCAGATCCGGCCAGGTTATTGAATTTGTACGTCTTTAGTTTTAATAAATTCAAATCTCAAGTGCATGGTGAACATTCAGTTAAACACATTTTAAGGCTCATTAAAAATAATTCTTCCATACATCATGGCTCATTGCAAACCACTCACCATCTGCATCGCTGAGATTTCAAAACATGCATTTTGAATAGCTATTAAGATCTTTCCCAACAGTCCTAAAAATGAATGAAGAACAAATTGGTTCAAGATAAAGAAAATTAATTTAAACTATTTTAAGTTTCTAAGAAATACAAATTTTCAACATCAGTGTTCTTTGTTTCCAAATAAGGAAAATGCAGTATCTCTGCAAGAGAGAGTAAGTAAATCCCCGAACAGATCACCACATTTGATCATTTTACTCTCTTGGTAAATGCTTCAAGAATATCAATGATGGTCTGAGAACAATGCAAAAAGCTTTTAAGCTACTATTTTGCCTGCAAGGCCCCATAAATCTAGTGATGAAAATCAAATGACTTTGTAATAACATTGCCAAAAAGTAAAATGACAAGATAGTGGCTATGAAAGGAAAAAGTCAAATAACTGAAAAGGTGGGCAGAGATTTCAAGGGGGAGTGAAAGTGTGTATTGTTCTTAAATCTGAAGGAGGAGGAGGACAGACTTTACATAAAGCCAGAAAAGTGTGAGTGACTCACAAAAGATGAATAACAACAACAAGGACAAGAGATTGTTCCCAACTGAAGGTCTGTGTCCTAGTTTGTTTCATTTCCCCTGTCATATACACCGTGGTGGTTTAAATACAAATGGCTCTCAGAGGCTCCTGTATTTGAATGTCTGGTTCTTAGTTGATGGACTGTTTAGGAAGGATTAAGAGGTGTATGGCCTTGGAGGAGGAATTGTGTCACTTAGGGAGGACTTACGGGTTTCAAAAGCCCACACCAGGTCCAGTCTCTCCCTCTCTATCCCTGGCTTCCGGATCAGATGTAAGCTCTCAGCTACTGGCCCACTCCTGTGCCATGCTTCCTGCCATAGTGGAAATGGACTAAGCCTCTGAAACTGTAACCCACCCCCTAATTAAATGCTTTCTTTTATAAGTTGCTTTGGTCATGGTATGTCTTCAAAACAATTGATCAATAACTAAGACATACCATGACCAAAAGAAACTTGGGGCAAAAGGGATTTATTTCAGTTTACAGCTTATACTCTATCATGAAGGGAAGTTGGGGTACAAATCTCAAGGCAGGAGCCTGAAGCAGGAACTGAAACAGAGACCATGGAGGAACCCTGATTATTGGCTTGCTCTTCATAGCTTGTAGCTCTTCTATCTTTCCCCCCTCTCTTTCTTTTACTTCCTTGCTATATTTTTCTTTTTCTTCTTCTTCTCCTCTACTTTCCCTTGCCTCCTTATTCTTTTCTTTCTTTCTTTCTTTTTTTTTTTTTTTTTTTTTTTTTTTTTTTTGGCTTTTTGAGACAGGGTCTCACTAAATAGTTTTGGCTGGGCTAGAACTTGCTATGTAAACCAGTTTGGCCTCAAACTCAGGAGTGGTACTTCCCACAGTGAGCTGGCCCTTCTCATATCAACCAACAATCAAGAAACTGCCATACAGACTTGCCTAAATGCCAATATGATGGAGGCAATTTCTCATCTGAGAGCCTTTCTTCCCAAATAGCTCAACATTTGTGTCAATTTGACAAAAACAAACCAGCACAGTCCTAGATGTCAACATGAAGAATTTGGGCACAAATTCTGGCACAAATAGGTGGTTTTTATAAGGGGAGGCTCTGCTGACTCTTAAGACTAGGGCACTAATTTTGACAGCTTTGTTTCAAATAAAAATCTCATTATATTTACATATACTGGTTACTCTCTCTTTTTCCCCTTTCGTTCCTGTCACCACCAGCAGCCCCATCAGTCCCTTTCCCAGAATCCTAACTTCAGTTTTGAGTTGTGACCCATTTAACCAGGGCTGTCTATGTGACCAGAAGATTGGAATGATCTATTGGGGCCGGGTGGGTAGATATACAACTGAAGGCAATGATTACACCCTCTAGCCTGCACTCTGACTCTACCAGTAACAGGCAATTCAGCAGCAAGGGGTAGGGTGTCTGGAGCCTCACCTTTATCCATTCCTGACTGCTGAGGGGGCCATTCTTATGCAGACCCAGTGTTGGCACCCTTAGCTACTATGAGTTGTGAGCAATCACTGTATATTTCTCCAACGGCAACTTGAACTTTCCAAGTAAACTACAACTCTGTCTCTCTCTTTCTGTCTCCTACACAAAGCAATATTACACGTTGACATATAAATCTTGATGAAAGTGTAGGTCAGTATTGCATTAGCCAATATAAAGATAAACCTATAGTCTGTACCTATTATAAAGCTATATTATAGATCTATAACCCTATTAAACTATCTTCTTTTGTGGGATGTATCATTTGAACACAATAATTCTACTTACTGACAAGCAAGGATGATGCTACAGCCCTAGCATTACCACTACTGTCAGACACAGGTCCAATTCCTACCTGAAAATTCCCACTAGTTTAGGTCATATGACATTACTGCTCCCAGGGCCATTATCCAGCCTGCTCAATATCCATGGGTACTGCCTTTTTTATGTCCACTTGGTTATGTATGCTGGTAGGTCACAGATGCATTTAAGAAAGTAGTTTTGTGTTTAATCACTTAGAACACAAAAAGGCAATAACCATATGTCCTATACTCTGTCCTAGATAGAAAATGTTCAGATGACTGAACAAATGGCAATAACTATGTAAATGAAGCACACGCATGTAGTAATAAAACAAAATACTATCCCAGGAAACAAAGGACAAAAGGGTCAAAAAAGAGTGTTCTACTTAGCCAGTGTTTGCACAGCTACTGTATTTTATAATTGTTTGTTTATAACTCCATGAATGGCACCTCTTAAATGCTCTAATGTCAAATCATTTCTCCATCTCCACTCACTATATTTTTCACTTGGTTTGTTCAAAAGTTTCTTTTCAGATGTCTTTCTCATAGAATATTAGATATTGATTATTTAAAACTCTTGCTCTTCCTGTGACCATACCCAGTTTCCCTTTAAGGTAAGTGATTTCTCAATCATTTGATTATAGAACTGTCTACTTTCTATATGACCCAATAACTACAACCTCCATTGAAATGTCAAAGGGTGACCCCAGATTTAAGCAAAACCAATCATGGCACTTTGATTGCCAGGCCACAGTAGTTTAGTTAGGACTGGGATAATAATTAGCTTAAGCCACAGAGTCCTTCCCTGATATATTATTTTTAAAGCTGGAACTGGGTAAAACACACTTTCCACTGTGTTCATAAGGGCGTGAACCCTCTACAGTTGGCAGCTCTCCTTTCTTCCAAAATCCTGGGAAATTTATATAGAAGGATGAAGCTAAGAGTCAGAGAAGCAAAGATGAAGCAGAATAACACAGAGACTGCTAAGTCATTGTTTATTCTTCCCCACACCCAGCACGATCCCTTTTCTTCTTGTAGTCTTGTAAAACTGAGACAGGAGATCCAAGTTGGCTTTCTTCTCTTGCACCAACAGTGCCCTCCCTCGGCTACCTGTTTAAGTAAGAAGTAAAATGCTGCATCCCGAGAGGGAAATGCTGAAGCTGGAAAGCCAGAACCAAGAAGAAACAGTACTTCCTGAAAACTGTGACATTCTCATGCATGTTGAGTATAGACAGAAGAGGATACACCCCACCCCCCCAAAAAAAACCCAACTCATGCACTGCCAAGTGAGTTGGCTGGTTACTCCCATGAGTTCTGTGCCACGGAGCCCTAGCATATCGTGCAGGCAGGATAGATGGTAGGTCAAAGGTTTTGTGGCTGGGTTAGTGTTTATATTTCTCTCTTGGTAGCTTGCAAGAGCACACCAAAGGCACTAGAATGTAGGGGTGAAGGCTCCATGTAGGCTCCAGCTCAACTTCTCCATGTTCAGTGAGTTGTATGGGTATTGTTATTGGCAATGGGGCCTCATCGTGAGTTTGGGGAGAGCAATCCATTGCCCTGAGAACAGCCTGAGTTGTTTAGGGATTTCCATGGGATTATTTTGGCTAACAACTCAATTGAATAAACCTAATCCTGGTACTACTTTGGTGACAAGAGATTGCTAGTTGGAACTCTGACGCCCCCATTACCAGCAGTCCTTTTTAGGAATGCCTACATGTGTTTTAAGGAGTTTCCTCTGTACTAGCTTTCCATTCCAACCCTCAAATGCTCAATTCTAGCTGTCTCTTCCCACATTCCCTTGTTAGTCCTATGTCATCCCCATCTCCACTTGACCCTCCCATTTGCATCCCAATCCACCCCCATCAAATATATTTCTCCCTCCCAGGGAGATCCATGTACCTGTCAATAACCCTATTTGCACTTCTGAAATTTAAATAAGAATGAAACAAATAAAATATGTGTATGAAAATGCCATGCCATAATGAAACCCATTATTTTGTATATTAACTTAAAATAATAAAATATAAAATGATTCCATCCCTGGAAATTATTATATATAGGGGTTATAGAATTTGTATAGGGAGATGATCAATTGGCAATTATTAAAAATAAAATAAGAAATTTTTTTCTTTTTGGTTTTTTGAGATAGGGTTTCTCTATATAATAATAGCTCTGGAATATCCTGGATTGTTGCGGGATATTTGATCATATTGTGTGAAGATGTGTCTCTGTTTTACCTCACCTGCCCAAAGCACCTTCTAATTGGTTTAATAAAGAGCCGAATGACCAATATCTAGGCAGGAGAGGATAGGCAGGACTTGTGGGCAGAGATAGGAACTCTGAGAAGGAATCAGAGAGGCAGAACTCACCAGCCAGACATGGAGGAAGTGGGACATACAGTACTGAGGAGAGGTAATGAGCTATGTCGCAAAAAAAAAATTAGATTAATATAAATGAGTTAATTTAACTTTTAAGAGCTAGTTGGGAACAATCCTAAGCTAAGGCCAACTTTTCATAATTAATAAGTCTCCATGTCATTATTTGGGAACTGGCAGTCCAAAGAAAATCTGACTACACTGGAATTTGCTTTGTAAGCCAGGATGTCCTCTAACTCACAGAGATCCATCTGCCTCTGCTTCCCAAGTGCTGGGATCAAAAGCGTGTGCTGCCACCACCCAGCTAAAATAATATTTTTAAAATTCATATAACTGCATATAAATAAAACCTCAAAATAAACTAAAATAA